TAGAGTTTCTGTCTTATTTGGGAATTACCAGCTAGAGCTCTTTTATGAACACTAACATACGGGCTCATGTAAACACAAATGACTAGTCCCAGATGAGACGAAACCCTCATTCTAGTTCTGATTGCTAGCCAAAATCAATCTGTTATAAATAATATTTAACAATATTATAGTAATCTATTCAAGTTTAACATGTTCTGATAGAGACTAATTAAAATCCAGTCCTTAACAAGAACAACGGGCTGATTTGAATTCTTGCAAATTGATAATAACATCATGAAGTACTTTTAGTGGTATTGTGTTCTTTCAGCTATGTGGTTTAATTACAGAGTTCTTGTTGTCATTTTGCACAATATCATCAGCTCCAATTTTACATAATCATTTCAATTATTAGATATTATTAGAGACTTCACAACCCCTTGTTAATAATTATCATGTACTTACTAATGGAGAGCTTCTAGAGGAAATTTCCGGAGTTTTAATGAAGGGTCTTGAACAACGAGGTTCATCCGTGTTGGGTGTGAAGAAGATATTCACCAAAAACAATGAAAGATGGTCACACGTTATAGTATGTTGATTAAAGTTAGATTTGTATACTAGTTGATCCCAGCTTAGTGGTCTAGATGTTGAACGTTCACACTCGACACTGAAGTCCCTGAGCTGTATTACCGATACTCACTGCTGAAGAGTATCAAACTAGAAAAAAATATTCATCAAGTGCTTTCAGGATTTCGTTCATGAGAACGATAAAATTCAACAATTTTCAAAACCCTTTATCATATAAATTAATTATTTACAGATAATATTAATTGATTTTTATAAGGAATTTTACTAGATGAAGATGACACAGATTACAAACAGAAACAATTCATCAATACAGTCAAATGAATTATCTACAGAGAGAGAATGGAGGAGGAGGAGGAGGTACCTGAAAAGGAAATTGGATTAGAGGTGGTCTTAGTGACCTGGGAGCGTGACCGCAGTGCCCAAGGGACAACTGCTTGAGGTCGGTTATACACGACCTTTTTATGGGTAATTTTTGTGTTAGCTCCGTACTTTTTGGGACCTTACCGCCGGAGACGGATATCCGTGGGATAAGGCGAGGTGTGCATTTTTAGGGTCGACCTTTTTTAACCCCACCCCACGAATGGTCATTTGCTTATTAAAACCTTTGAGAAGGATTTACCGTTTTGTTAATATAGAAATGGAACTGTAAAAATAGTTTACTTAATCTATTAAATCAAAAGTAAAGGGTATGAAATTTAAATAAGATGAAAGTCATTTTATGTATACAACTATCGAACAGATATTTAGCTCCAATGTAGATCGATTATTGGAATAAAAGTTCTTTTTTAATCATCAAGCTAATGATCTTCATTCAACTTCATCTTAGGTTAGAGATTGTGGGGCTATACTAATCATTAAACTACAGAAACAACAATTTGTTGAATGCATCATTTATTAATTAGTGAATGAGTATTTTCGAATAGATTGTTAGTAATGAAGCCAAACCTTGAACGTCAAACCTTGCATACTAACAAATACTATGTGAATAATTTTAACTGAAATAGCGCTGTTTCTTGCATCACAAGTTTAAATAAAATGTTTACATTAATTATGTTGGAGAACGAACACGGGAAAACGTATCCTCACAAAAGGTGCATCGTGAATTTCAATCAAGTAGTTGAAATATTTGTAATCAGAGAATGTATATAACAGGTTGGTAATCCTATATTGTTTGTGATCTACACACTAAGTTTTACCTATATAATCGTCATTAATATATGATGAACCTGACAAATATGTCAATACATATCCAAATATTAATTAAACAAGAGTGTTTACTAAAGATCAAGTAAATACACTAAATCTCCATCAGAACTAGAAAATTAAAAAAATGAGATTTTTTAAAACCAACTTAACAGCCGGTAAACAGGCTACAAAATTATGATAGAAGTCTATCTGAAGTTTGTGCTGATGATGTCGTCTAGAAGAACGATGGAAGCCCCACGACCAAACCATCCAGCTCAGAGGAATAATTCGATCAAAACCAACCACCTGAGCTACAAATCTTCCCCACCATGGATATATTCATTTTTTATTTTTGGTAATGTTACATATGAAGAAGATAAATGAGAAACTATCCCTATACATTGAAAGTAAAAAGCGCTGTAATTTCGAATACGTTTAATTTAAATTATGGGTACTACAGTTATATGTAGTGCTTTTAATAATTTCATGTAGTGAAATAAATAATCATGTCACTAGTTTAAATTACTTATCTCATTTTTAAAATGTTCCTTCGAAACCCCACATAAATTGAATCGGAATAAGAAGGAAAAATTTTAAAAAGTAATCAAATTTAGAGCCTGAACAAACATGGATACAAAATAATATGAATTCATTATATTTCGTGGTTTCTCATCACCTGCTTACAACCAAATATCTGTCATCATTTACATTGGAGTAACATAAAGTGTGGGGGTCTATGGAGTCTTTCATTCTGTTTAAAAATACCCTGTTGAAGGCTTTTCCTAGTATTGAGAGAAGAGAGATGCTTCATTGGTTCTCACACTTGCTGAAATCACCTTTCTTTGGTATCTTGATCAGATGTCCTTATTTTCAGTCTGTTGATTTCGTTTTGCTGAAGCGATTGAGATAAAAAAACTTAAACTTGATCTATGTGTTCAAAAAGAGACAGTAATAAACCTATCATTAACTTGGTAATTCAGTTTTTGGTCATTAGTTTTATTTTTGTTAATGTTTAGTTTTTTATATTGCTGTTCCACTACCGAATTCTTGTTTTATGTAAATTTATATCACTCCTTCACTCATACATGTAAACTCACTCAATTCTCTTAAATTATGTGAACTCTACAAATACTGTTCAATTATTACGCAACCCATCTTACCAGTTTTTTTAATTACAGAAATCTTGTGCAAACCCTTAATTGCCTCGAAAATTATCAAACAATTTATCTTATCTTTCTCTGAACTTCACTCAATCATTACATCACACAGTCCTCATGTTTTTTTTATTCTAATACCAAATAACCTCCAGCATGTTCTTGCATATATATAAATATATGTCATTCCAATTAATTTCATTCACTTATGTCAATTGTCTCACACTTTATGTTACTCCAATGTAAATGATGACAGATATTTGGTTGTAAGCAGGTGATGAGAAACCACGAAATATAATGAATTCATATTATTTTGTATCCATGTTCGTTCTGGCTTTATTATAAAGGGAACTCATTGCATTCAATTTAGAATATTTTCTTTCTTTTTAACAAAATTATAAGATTACGTAACAAGAAGTATTCAAATAATTAGACCGTGAAGCGTATATTTGAGAGAGAAAGAGTGGGAGGATGTGAAGAAAAATTAACGAACAAAGAGTATGGAAAATAATAATAAATGATTTCAACCAGTGGAATTTCTAAAATCTCCACAAAACCCCTTTTGATAATAATCATCTGCTCACTAGGGACTGACTTCAGGAGATACTCCTGGAGTTCTAGTGAGAAGCCGTTACCAGGGGAGTTCAACCAGGCCTGTTGTGAGATATCAACTCACTGAAGACAATGGTGTGTGGTGGAGCAACTTCGTGGATTGGTTGAAGTTAGACATTAACACCATTGGATGCTGGCCGGCTCAGTGGTCTAGTTGGTTAAGTGCCTGGCGCGAGATCGATAGGTCCTGCGTTCGAATCTTGCGAGGTGCGGGATCGTGGATGCGCACTGCTGAGGAGCCCCATACTAAGACGAAACGGCTGTCCAGTGCTTCCAGGTTTTCCATAGTGGTCTAGCTTCAATTGACTGATGATTTCAACTAGTGAAATTTCTAAAATCTCCACAAAACCCCTACTGAAAAGACGTTTTTCATCATGGCTCTCTCTCTCTCTCTATATATATATATATGATTTGCAATAATGAAATAATACTTATCGAGTGGTTACATTACGTAATAATTACACAATGACATAATGACGTTGCATAATATATGAAAAAGAGAAGGAACAGAATATTTTAATGGATGGTCAATAGAATAGTAGTTACGTAAGAATCAAAAGATGAATGTTGGAAAAATTAGTAAGTTCAAAAAAGAACTAAAACAAAATTTAAAAATTAAAAATTAAACGGAATGGAAGAAGTACGAAAAAATAGTTCTACTGAAAGAAATCACAATTCGTTCCTTCTTTATTTACCAAATGTCAAAATGGGAATTTTCACAATAATAAATAAATTCATCTATTAAGGCCAAGGGAGAGATAAGGGTGTTACAAATTTCTTATGAACACAAAAACTTGGATTGTTGGCTCAAATTTCTATAGCTTCTGCTATGCGTAAGAGATGAGATCGAACACCCTAAGGAAAACTAGTAAGAATACGATTAACTCATAAACTACCTTGACTGAATTAATAATTTCGTATATGCATATAAATATTACTGTATATTAGAGTAAAGCCTAATGAGTATCTAATCGAAAACAATATTGTTCACTTATATATATATATATATATATATATATATATATATATATATATATATATATATATATATATATATATATATAGCTCTATATTTAAATATACTCAAGATATTATTATAGAATTTATTTACTGAATTTCTACTGGTTATTTAATACAACTCAACTCAACTATGAACCTATAATCTATCATTCATATCTAACCAATAAATATCAAGATAGAATTTCGTTATTATTCTTTTTTGATAAACAATAATTCATTCTTACGTAATTTAGTGAAATTATCATTTCAAATGTCAAACTGTCGACCAGTACATTTTTTTTAAACAAATCATTTACAAATTAACATTGATAAGTTTGTTTGTTTGTTTGTTAAGTTTATACATAAACTTATCTACATAAATTTTATGAAAAATATTTAATTACGTAATTTTAGTTGCTATGACAATAATGGTTTATTATTATTCAGAATAATAACTGGTAGTCTATATTCAAGTATACATAAACTATGACAATAGAATTAAATCAACCTGTTGAATATACCAATGAATTATTAAATTCTTTACCTTATAAATCTACATCTTCAGAAGTTTGTTTAAATACATGTAAAAATATGTCTAAAGAGAATGAATTCAAGACAAAAAAATTAGTAAGTTTTATATATAACTTGTAATTATGAAGTGATTCTTGGTTAAATATCTGTTATAATTAAAGAATTCAAAATAATTTGCAATTAAACAATAATTGTTTCTAATCTTGAGGGAACTGGTGCTGCCTGACGGATTCGATCTCGTATCACCCGGCTTCACAATCAGAGACGTTACCACGGAGGTATCCGAGCCGTGACCGACCTTCTGTAGGACTGAGATGTAATCACAATTTATTGATCACTGGGTGGTGATCAATGTCATGCTTGTCTAGTCCTTACTAGTGCAGATCGAATGCTATCGATCATGTTGCGATGTGGCCACCAGTCTAGGTGACACGACATCGAATCCGCTAGGGAGCACCAGTTCCCTCAAGATTACAGGTACACCTTGCTGACGAGTGCCAAGTAGCACGAAACCCGGGTCCAGGGTTTCCTGTCGACTACCTCCAACCACCATCTAATCTCAATATATAGTGCCCCGCAGTGTCGAGTCACCTAGACTGGTGGCCACATTGCAACATGATCGATAGCATTCGATCTGCACTAGTAAGGACTAGACAAGCATGACATTAATCGCCACCGAGTGATCAATCAATTGTGACTAATTGTTTCATTAAAATCTTGGTGTATCAATCATTGTTTAACGTTGTTTTTTAAGACTTAAAAGATTGATTTTATTATGGAATAAACATCATTTGATATCTTACTAATTACGTTTAAACTTTAGGTAGTTGTGTATTGATCGAGAACTCATAGGAGGGGGGTGGGAGAAGATCAACTTATTTACACATTTCCAATAAACCAGAAAGCTTAATTTACTTTCACAATACAGTTTTTCATAGCATAGTATATTCTAATGCATAGATTTTATCATTTCATTATTTTTATACGATACAGTTACAAATCTGTTAAGGTTTATATTTTTAATTTTATTCATCTAAAATGTTTATGTAGACAAGTATTAAATTATTTCTAGCTTATTTTGTTACTTCTATTTTCATGTTATTGTAAATAATTGAACTTAAACTTAATATTTATGATTAAAAACTACAAATACTACTGTTTACAAAACTATTGTAGTGCATTCTAATGATGTTGACAGATATAAGTAGTATATATCATCAATTGAAAGTGAAATATCTAGTGGCAGAAGGTTAAGAAGAACGAAGAGAAGAGAATGAGAATAAAGAATGATTGATGTGGAAACTAAAGAACAATGAAGTTTGAAACAATTGATCAAACTTTTGCAAATGAAGTATTTACTGTATGATTATCAGATTTTACTAAGAGATTCTGTAATTGAGTGTCCAAATACATTTAATTATCAACACTGATGTTCTCGTTCACCATATTATGATCAATTTTAAGTTAAGATAAAGAGATTAACATTAGCATTGAAAGTATACTCCAATCGAAAATTTTAAAAAAATATTAGTATTATAATTTTTACCCTATCACTTGTTCGCTTATTAATCATGACTGTTTTTATATGATCTTATGTGTGCTGATTACTTACCTTACTCATTGTGTCTGTGGCTCAATTTTGTTCGACTATAAAGATCGACTCATGCTTGGCTAAATTGAGTTAGGCCACTCGCCTTCTCCATTGTGCATCATTTTGTTTCGCTTCGCTTTCCGATAAACGATTGTACGACATGTACGTATTCGAAAATTCATTCTGGTATTTGAATTATTTAATCCCACTATTCACAAACGCAATTTAAGTCGATGATTGTACACGAGGATTGACATGTATATTTCGATAACAATCAGTAAACAATCTACCTGGAGTCAGATATATGGCGTTACCATTCAGATCCACGAAACAATCCAGCGACTGTTTAAACGAAGGATTAACTCAATAATATGATTTGAATCCAGATGTATTTGTCTACAATACATGAGATACACTTATGTAAGGTTTACAATAACATAAGAAATAGCATTAGAAGGTCTTTATTAGACACTTTTTCCAGTTCTTACATTATTCGGTGTTCTATAGCCCTAAAAACGAGAACATATATTTTCCCCAAAGTATATTTCATTATTGAGTTATTATATAAATAATCCATTGATTTGAATAATCGAACGACCATTATTTAATACGGTTCCCCCCTTTATTTGTAATTCTTGTCAGTAAATAACACTTGGTTGGCGAAAATCATCTATCTCACTGTTACAATACTTCACCAGAGTTTAGTGAGGAATCGAACAATTTTACAACATTACCAGCTATGTTATCAGGAGTACATTAAGGATGAACAGCTGTAAGAATGCTTACTTCTTTAAGAAACAACTTGCCAGATCATTTGTTTTTAAATAAACTTTTATTCAGAGCTTTTCTAGTAGATTTTTCTTCCACAATATTCATGATTTTTACTCTTTCTTATGCCACTATTACTTCATTGATTCGTTTATGTTTTCAGTATGTTAACTAGTTACTACATTTCAAATTCCAGTGAAATAGGATTTATGGAATTTTAATTTTTGATCTTATTATACTTTTTGATCAATAACACTCCGTGTTGCAAAACCCCACAATAATATCTCCTAAATATTAGTGGCTTGCAACTGTATAAAGTAACTTAGTTTGGTAATTTTTTTACTATTAGCTTCCTTTACAATTTTATTTGTAAATTCTATCAATAATAAATAACAACAGAGATTTCAGTGATAAATTTACATCGCAATCCACTATCTTTGCATTGATATGTTTTTATACTATCTTCTTTTGTTTCATTTTCTATTACTGAAATCAGGTCCCAGTCCAACGAACTTACAATGAATGTATTCTTTACGCTTTAGGTGAATGGAGGTGTGCATGTCTAACAACCGTTTTAGTCACAGGTATTATTTTAGTATCATCATGCGGTGTTAAGCAGCTAAAAAATTACATGAATTCATCTCAGTCAGATACACACTATCCTATTTCATATCATAAATACGATCAAAGTTTTCAATTATTGTGTCAAACAAGTTCTCTTCTAATTATTAATGGTTTATTATTTCTAGTCTATTTAATTTATTTAATTGAATCATGGCAATCAAGAAACTGGATTCAAACAACATGGTTAATTGATACAAAAATGGCATATAATTTAATACATAATGCACATAAACTTATTCCTTCTATTCTTTGGCAAATCAAATGTTATCATTATGCTCATAATACACCACAATATTATAATCATTATCAACAGAATCCAATGCAACAATCCATAACATTAAATGAAACTGATTTAAGTAAACCAATTAAATATTCATTTATCCAAAATCATTTTAATAATTCAATGAAAGAAACAAATACTCAAAATAATCAATATCTATTGAATTCCAATAAGATCCCTAAACTTTTATCTCATTCTATTAATAACACCAATATAAATCCAATTAAATGTCACCGTATTATAACAATGAATAAAATGTGTTCATTTGATTTATCTAAAATTGATGCAATATGGGATCTATCAGATAATATTAGTGAATTAGATAAATTTCAATTAATTGAATTAAATATAAAAACATTATTTAGTTTTTCTGATAAGAAAACTTATTTAGAATATCAAAGACAAAAACAAGAATTTTTTACAACTTATGAAAAATTTGATGTTTACATGGAAACTGAACAAAGTTAGTTTATTTTTTTAAAAAAATAAGAAAAAAAGAAGATTCTTATCAGAAGGCGTTTTGTGGATATTATAGTAAATTCAGTGGTTAAGATCATGAGTTAGTTGAAGCTAGACCACTATGAAAAACCTGAAAGCACTGGAAAGCCATTTCGTCCTATTGTGGGACTCCTCAGCAATGCGCATCCACGGCCATCCAGTGCGTTTAGATTTTCCATTGTGGTCTAGCTTCAACTGACTCATGATATCAACCATTGAAATCATTATAATATCCATCAAACCCCTTCTGATGTTAATCAATATATGCTCAGTAGTGACTGGGTTCAAGAGGTATTTCCTGGAGTTCTGGTGAGAAGTAATTACCAGTGGAGTTCAACCAGGTCTGTTGTGAGATAGTAACTCACTGATGACAATGGTGGATGTGTCGCTCAATTTCGTGGATTGGTTGAGGTTAGACATTAACATCGTTGGATGCCGGACGACTCAGTGGTCTAATCTTCAAGCGCTCGCGCGCGAGACTTATAGGTCCTGCGTTCGGATCTCGTGGGTGGTGGGATCGTGGATGCGTACCATCGAGGAGTCCCACAATAGGACAAAACGGCCTTCCAGTGCTTCCAGGTTTTCCATGGTGGTCTAGCTTCAACTGACTCATGATCTCAACCACTGAAAAAGATTTTTCTTAATATTTCAGTATTATTTAATAATGACTGTTTATAGATTAAAGGTTAGACAAAGGTCAAAGGAAAGTTCATTTTCAATTAAATATGTGCTTTATCATAAAATCTAAAATAACGAATAGATATTACATGTATTACACTATACATGTTTCTTTTTTCAATATAGTCTCGGTTATTCCATAGTTCTGTAGTGAACAGAACACCAGTGGGGACAAATGAACCTATTTGACAACAAATTACAGAACTTGTTAGTAGAATCTAACAATCATATATTAAATGCTTAATTTGCAAAATGTCCATCAGTTGTCTCAAAATGACTTAAACTTCACTGTTTTCGCATTCCCATACAAATTGAATTCTGTTTCCATTCTTTACTGTTTGATCCTCTTGTCTCTCCACTGTCAGACATTCTGTTCACGACTAACGTCATATACTAATTATGTCCATATAAGTGGCACACACCACAGTTCTTTCGTTTTGTTTTTAGGTTCAAGTAGTTTAACTGATTATTATTTTTATATTTTATCGTAAATTTGATATTAATATTGTGTTTTATCAAACTAGTAGAACAACTATGTGGCATAATCCGTATTATTACAAGCAATAAATGTATCATCAATCTTCGATTTCCTGTTTAAGTTTTGTTTGCTCAAGATTAGCCATAAAATTATCGGGCAAAATAGGCCCTAGTGGTGATCCTGTAGACCAGCTTATCAACATTTCTGCATAACTGATCGTTGAATCCGAGTTGAACCCCTTTCGTACATAGTAGTAGTATACTCAATTGATCTTCGTGTAGAGGAAGTGTTTTAGAATGCTGGTTTATTAAATTTATAGTTTATTCTATTAGTACATTTATAAATAATAAACAGACATCAAATGATATATCAAATTTATCTGATATATCCACATGATTACTTTCCTCAGAGACGTATAGGCTGCCATTTTTCTGCGAATTAGTTCCAATAATTTCACTTGTCATAAAGCCAGATTATAAGATGGTGAATTTAACTGGTCGTAAAGGGATATTTGATTTGTGGACTTTATGAAGGTCATGCACGAAAGGCAAGCCTGTTCCATTAGCTTTAAGTTCATTTTAAGTTGGACAGTCAAACGAATTCTTCTTTAGCAGTTCTTTAAGGTGTTTGGTAATTAAAACTTCAGTCACGACAGTGAAATATTTTTTAGATATATCAACTTTAAGTCTCGAATAATCGTTTAGAACGTAAAGCATATTTTACACGTAGTCATTTAGATTCATCATACCGATAACTGAATTTTTTACTGTTCTTAGTACAACAACCTTATGATTATTTTGTAAATCTTTTAGTGTCGACTTATGTTGACTTATTTACGCCTGTTACTCGGTGTTGTGGAAGAGCATAGGCTGCTCACCAACATTCACCATAGAACTCTATCCTAAACAATCCTTTCCACTTGCTTCCAGTTGTTATTCACTCTTTTGATGTTTACTTTCAATTCTCGGTGCAGTGCATTCTTTGGCCTTCCACCTTTTTGTTTCCATTTGGAATTCCAAGTTAGCACTTGCCTAGTCATGCAGTTTGGTGATTTCTGCAATGCGTAACCAATCCATCTCCAGCGTGTCTTCCTAATTTTCTCTCCATTTTGAGGTTGGTTTGTTCTCTGTTACAGTAGGCTGATGCTGATGGTATCCGACCAACAGTTCTAAAGTGTGCTGCGTAAACAATTGCGCTTAAATACCTGTACTATTTTGATGACAGCTGTAGAAGTTGTCCAAGTTCCAGCTCCATACACTAGAGCTATCCTGACGTTCGCATTGGTGATTCTGACATATAACCTTTGATCAAAACTTTTGAATATGGAAATGAGGAAATTAGATACTAATTTGAAATATCAACTAGTTTGGCATCAAACAAACTCTTTTAATCCTCATCTTTGGGTTTCAAGTTAGCAACTTGATGATAAAGATTTTGAAATTGTGTTTGCATTTCTACTTTGTTAACTTTGTCATTCGAAACGTGGAATTTAAATCCAAGAGATCTCGCATCCATTCCAAGCTTGTTCAGTTCTGTATTTGACAAATTATAAGTATACTTCTCTGTCAATTCAAGAAAATCTTCATGTGTTAAATTTTTCACTAAGGATTTCAAAAGTGTACTTTCAACCGATTTGGATGTGTTTATTCATAGTTCTTGAAAAAAAACTCAGTGAACTTTGTTTGGCAAACGATATTAAGATCATCCAGGAGCTTATTGAACATAGCTTGGATTTCATAGTTAAAATATACTTATCAGAGCATTCGATATGTGATTTGGCAATTCGGTAATAATGTAAATTCAAAGCAGTTTACAACTGATAAGAAGCCTTGATATATAATAAATTCATTTCTACTCTAATACTAAAGATCTAATTTTTATAAAGTTAATTGTTTAAAAAGCAACAAAATTCCAGTACAGAATTTACATTTCATATAATTTCAAATTCACTTGCATTATATAGCCTCAAAATGAAATTTCTCAAGTATTATTATTATTTGAAATCATGAGTCAATTTAATCTAGACCATCGTGGAGAACCCGTCCTAGTATGGAACTCCTTAGCAGTGTGCATCCACGATCCCACCACCCGCGAGATTCGAACCCAGAACCTATCATTTCAACTATTGAAATTATTAAAATCTCCAAAAACCCCCTTCTGATATTATTATTATCATGAAATTTTCTAAGCTTATTATATTGGTAAGTTCAAATAATTACATCACTCGATTTCTTTCAATTAACTTCAAAATTATTTAATATCATATTGTATATTTACTTAATGGTGATCATTTTTTTCTTTTAACAATTTTTTTTTCAATAGTTGAAATCATGAGTCAATTGAAGCTAGACCACCATAGAAAACCTGGAAGCACTGGACAGTCGTTTCGTCCCACAATAAGACGTCCACTGCTTCGAGATTTTTCATGATGATCTAGCTTCAATTGATTCATGATTTCAATGATTAAAATTTCTTAAATCTCCACAAAACCCGTTTGTTGTTGTTTTGTTGTTTTCTTTTACAGTATGTACTTTTACAGATTTTATGAAATTACCTAAAAAATGTCTTATTATTCATCAATCATCAAAATTACCATTCTATTTAAAAGATCTAACTTATTTAATAGCTACACTTTTATTATGTTCATTGCCATTAAGAATTTATATTTATGCAAATAAAGCTAAATTAAATTGTAAAATTCATAAAATATTTGGTTCTAAACCAATAAATCATTCATTAAAATTAATTCCATTAAATAAAAATTCATTAATAAATACATTTCCTAATTATACTATACCATCATCACCATCATCATTATCATTATCAAATCATATCTTAAATGGTACTAATCATAATAACAAATTACATGACAATAATGAAGCTATTGTATTATTTAATAAACATATTTTAGATAATACTACTGATTTAATACAAAACTATAATAAAAAACATAAAATGATTTCAAAAGATTCTTATGATTTCAATCATAGAAAATATGATAATAAAGTAAATATTAAACATAGTTCTATTGAAGATGAAGATCATGATGATGATGTTGAAGATGAAGATGAAGAAATGTTATCATTGGATATACGATTTGATGAATACATAAAAAATAAATGTATTAAAAATGATAAAAGGAACATAGAAAATCATCATAATCATTATGAATTAAATACTGTTTTAAAAAATTCTAATGCTGATATAAAATCTGTGTGAAATATACTACTTAATAGTATTTTTGTTATTAAAATGTATATTGTTTAAAGTTTTAAAGCATATGAATATTTATATCAAGTGAACTCAAAAGATGTAAAGTTACATTAAGAAAGTGTTGTATCCGAGCGAAGATTAAATTATGAGTAACTTCTGAGATCTATTAATGGACTATTATTATTTATATATTCTCATGGTGTAAATATTCGGTAACTAGATTATGTATATCTATATTCCCTTTGTTATAAGCTTTATTTTGACCTATAATTTATTATTGTACGATTTACGGTTAGTAAGCTATGTTCAGTTTATTGACTACTGCCTCCCACGTTCATAGCCACATTTGGCCAAATATTGTACAAATGTTATTTCCTATTTTATGGTACGTTGTGGTCTGTCTGGTTAATATATAAACCGAGTATGTTTGAAATAAACGATTCATATTATAGAAGCTGGTATTGTGTTCTGGACTCGAGCGGACGGGCTAGGAGGACATAGGATCAATAAGGACGCTAGACAGCTTATACCGGTCGAACGTGATTGATTTGACACAGTGCTAAGATTACGTACGTGGTGGATAAGTCACGTGATAAAGAGCCGGACATAAAATTATAAAAGAAAGGACATGTGGTTCCGATTTCCATGTTAAAATTCAATTACGAATGTAATTAATGTTATATCAGATGGTTATAATAATCATTTCTATATATTTCACACATTTTAAAGCAAATATTTTCAGTCTTTTTTTCAAAATAACTAACTTTACAAAAATGAATAAGAACTTTCGTTTAAATTTGATCGAATAGTTTCACAGTATTTGGGCGCTGAGTTAATATGAGACATTAAAGAGGAACAATGTATTTATAAAATCTCCGCGAATGAATTTTGAAGTAACTCCAAGGTTTCGCCTGGCAATCTGATTTCGTTTTCACATTACATGTCTCTTACACCATAATGTAAATACCTACTTTAAACATTGTTAATATTGATTGGATGACTTATTCAGTATATAGTAAACGGGAGGACCTTGTACCTATTTATATTCGATAATTTCGTTGCTTGATTATATTTCCTTGAAAAAGCTTGAACCAGATTGCCAGGTGAAACGTTAGATTTACTTCAAATTCATTCGCTGAGATTATACAAATACGTTGTTCCACTTTAATATTTTACAAAAATGATTTAATCTGTTCAAGATATACTTTGTTATTGAAAATCCTTTTTTTCCATTAAACTGCTTGCGTTTTTCTGGTTGGCGTTTTTTAGCGACTTAGTTCTCTACGGGATGGAGTCGCTAACCACATGCATAATTCCCCTCCTTTGTTCGGGATTGGGGCAGGCAATAGTCCCAGAGGGGCTCCAGGTGGAGTTATTAAACTGCTTGAGGCAATACTTTTTCCTCGGTATTGATTTCCAGTTTATGAAAGCAATCTATTACAAATGAAGTAAGAACTTATAGCATAATTTAATAATGTAGAAACTTTTTCTGTTTCTAATATATTTTTAAATAATGATTATTATCGGATAAATGGTTATATAAGAAAGGCAAAACAATTGTTGATTACTATTTGTAAGGCTTGACCTTTGATTTATGTATGTTACACATAATATAATGTGAAACAAATGATTACAGAACAAGTAAGATATTTTGTTTTAACTGTTGTTTTAGGTTCTTCATAGTTGCATCTAATTTATTCCAGTAAGTAGGTACAATCATAGTAGAAACAATAATCACCTGACAAATTATTCACCTTCCGTATTGTTCTTGAGCCATAATGCTTAGTAACATGTTAACAAACATGTTAATGAACACTACAATATTGTGTTGAATAAGATTATTAGATATTTGTCTAAGAACTAGTCTGGAGAATTACGAATGTCTTGAAAAATGTTATTACTGAATTATTTATTAATCTGTCTATTAAGGCGTTCAAATACGAGGCAATACCAGGCATTGTAATCAATTATGTATAACTCGTATTCAGTTTAATTGAGTTCACTGGTCATCTGTTTACTAGGAAATTAGATTAATACATCAAACTGGATTTTCTTAACTGACTAGTTTACTGGTGTTCTTTATAAAATGCGTTATTTTTTGGGTTTCATGTAAACACTACTCTCTTTATTCCCATTCAATAGGTTTCAATAAAGTAGTCCTCTTCATTCAAATAAAGAAATTGCATGACATATAATGCAACATAGTCACTGTTAAAAGGTTGTACTGGTAGTTGAATCGACTGACTCTATCTATATGATATATTACAAAATACATATTACTCTGATCATTAGTTTTTAAATTACTGTTTATAACGTCTTAATTTTCATAAGGAAACATAAGCGAAATACTGGTCATACACAAAGTTCCCTTAGTTTGAAATTAGACAAAGCATCTTGTAAACACTGTAATGTTTCATAATTATGAACAAAGTTTACAATACAGGAAAACTCAACAGTCAGTCAGTCAGTAACAACGTCAAATAAAAAAAGAAGAGGAAAAGTTTTCTTCATTGTAAAATACTCGAAACAGTTTATTACTTTATAGGTGAAATCATGAGTCAATTGAAGCTAGGCCACCATAAAAAACCTGGAAGCATTGGACGTCCGTTTCGTTCTAGTATGGGACTCTTCAGCAGTGATTTCAACTATTGAAATTATTAAAATCTCCACAAATCCCATTTTGATATTACTTTATACTTGCATAAAATAATTTAGGATAAAATAAAAATAAATTTTTGCTTAACCAGCTTCTGTGTCTAGAATAGATGATTAATTAAAGCTTCCAAATAAAGACTTGAATATATGAAAGGTAAATTAAATAGTGAAAAAATTTTGGTAAACTAGTGAACAATATTCTCTTAGAATATTGAAGATCTGTTAAGTTACTTTTCTGGAAGACTTTTTTTAATTATTTGTAATATCTGAGATGGCAAGTTGATTTCTTAATTATTGATGTAGTGAACAGGACACCAGTGGGGACAATCGAATGTAATTAACACTAAATTACAGAGCATCTCATTAAATCTGAGAACCATTTAGTAAATCATTAATTTACGAAATATTAATCTACCATAGCAAACTTGACTGTTCCTGTTGCAAACAGCAATCCATTGTCCCAGATCTTATTGCTCATGCGTTTTCATATTAATCACGTTTCCTTCGCGTTCTTTCCTCACCGATCTTCTACTGAAATACATTATATGCCTGACTTCCGTTTTATACTACTTGTGTGAATATAAGTAACCCACGCCACAATGATAGCGATATTGAGATATCCGTGATAATATTAACTAATGTAACTTTAAATCAAGATAATATGAAAACCTGATAAAAGGTTAATATTTCGATGCGAAAGTACCCTATGTAATGATATCAACAATGAAGCTAGTAAAAATATAAGAAAATAATATTTGTTAATAAGCAAAATGATGTAGACGGAATGAAAGCATTTTTGATTTATTATGCAGATAATAAGCTGAGAAAATACGAAAATTATAAATCAATACTGCATCAACAGTCAATTATAAAGTGTATTTTCTTACCTGTGGTTTAGATGTTAAACGAATGATAAAACTATCATAGTACCCATAGATAAGTCTTAAGTTTATACTCGTGTCTACTAAGCAATCTAAATTCAAAATGCATTTTCCGTTGTATAAATGGTATATATAAGTTATTCTATCATGTATTCCTACACAAACAACGTTTCTGACTGAATAGGAGGAATATATTGTTTTGAATGTTACACATTTTACCTGAATTACTCCACACTTGAAAAATTCATAAATATCAAATAGAACATTTGTCTCTGCTTCAAGCACTCAAACGTTATAGTAATTGGTTTTTACATAATTATATAGTCAGTAATTTGTTTGTTTAGAAAAACTCAACTTTACATTAAAAATTACCACTTTTGTTTTATTTTTAGTATTTAAACACAAAATATAAAACAGATTTTCAACGTATTTAAGGTTTTTTAATGTTTAGGGTTAATTGATTAATCAAGGTGCAATGTACAAAGTGAAATTCATTGGTGAGCTTTCTGTAGACATTAGCAGAAAACAGTTCTGTCGTTCAATTATCTTTGCAATGTAACAAGAAATAGGTTATTTGGTAATACAATTTGATATTCATAGGGATTTGTTTAATTAATCCCATTGAATTAAATATAAATACAAATAATATACTATTATATATATAATTATATAATTCATCAAAAGTGCTTGCTTTAGCTACCTTTCTGATGGCATATTTATGTTGCTTATTGCTACACTGACCTTTTTAAAACTCATCGTTCAGTTGTATCATAATAACCCGGATTATAATACTTTTCGAACGCAACTGTTTAAATAGAAATCCCTTTCATTGATTACGGTATACAGTAAAAATGCATGGTGTTTAAATTTATTTATAAAGTAAATAAACGGTGAAAGTGATAATCATCAATTTAAACTGTTAATATTCACGATCGTGCTTGGTATTAAACCTAGGGCATTCAGATATCATCATATATATAAAGGGCTCCTGAACTAAAACAACTGCCCAACGCTTATTGAGTTTCAAAGTCATTCAGGCTAATATTAGTCCACAATGAAAATAACTTTAAATTACGTTATCTTCACAAACCTTTAGTTTAAAGTAGTTGGAAATCAACGATATATATTTTCAAGAAACTTACTTTTGTTTCTATGTGAATTATTGATAATAAATCAAAGATTGTAATTATTTGAATAGACATTTATGCTGTACGAAACAAATAGAGCAGGGTGTAAGATCAGAAAACACTAATCACACTTTATGTTGATTACTACAATACATTCACAAATCTAGTTCATTTGAGCACTTAATAGTCAAAATGGATTTTTAATAAACGATCAGATCAATATTACTTGTGAAAACTATATTTGCAATAATCTCAGTGATTGAAATTGAAATAATTTCAACTTTCCTTCAAATAAACTTGTGCCGACTTCTTCAGGGTAATAATCAGAACTCTTTGATTCTTACATTGAAGAAGTCCGAACACTTTTGGGGGCTGAAACATTGGAATTCTTTAAATATCAATCACTGTGATTATATTAAATATAATTTTCAGAAGTAATGTCTTCTATATATCCGGCAGCCGATTTGTCAAACTATTCGTATACAATCAGATTCATAGCTATATTCTATTCCAATTTTAGCTACCAAAATATATTACTGGTTAGTGAATGAATTTTCAAATATTGATTTCTTAATGATATGAAATTTATATTTGAAACTTATTTGCTTACTTATACCTGTTACTCCCAATGGAACATAGGATGCCGACCAGCATTCTCCAACTCACAATGTCCTGAGCCTTCCTTTCCAGCCCTATCCAATTTTCGTTCACTTTTCTCATGTCTGTCCCCATT